ATTAAAGGAAAAAAATCCTTAACACTTTTCCAGTTGAAATCTGTTAGAAATAAGGTGTGTGTGTGTGTGTGTGTGTATTTCAAATATAATCCCTATGGGTCCTGGGAATATATTAAATAAGCCTGTAAAAAGTTTGGGACAGATTTTGTTCTCTTCCATGTTTGGTATATCTTCCCACTCAGAAATACATATAGTCAATGTCCTACTTAAAAGAAAGAACTTGGGGGAAAAGTGGGATTCAAATGCTTTATATTCAGGCCAGTCCAAATTTAACTGTCACTGAGAATTTAGTTATGTTTTAAACGGGTTTAAAAGGGAGATAAACCCTCAGCTAGGATTTCCCATAACCAAAAGTGCAGGTCTTGCTGTGAAGGTAGACAGAACTGGAGAGCCAGACTAAGGCCAAATCTCCCCTCCCCTTCGTCAAATTCCACTTGACCATGAGTCCAGGATGGCTATTTCACCATCTTCGCTTCAGGAATTAAACCAGGGCTATCCTTGATTGTCATTAAGTTCCCCATAAAACAATGAAGACATTATGCTTGAAAAACCCCTCCAGGCCAAGGATTAAGAGAAGACAAGAATCCTTATTCCCAGGGGGGAGAGAGGGAGAATAATGAAAATAAATCGGGAGTGGGGAATAGAGAAATCCATTTTAATTTTCCATCCCTTGGGTCTCTTACCCTGCAGTCCACAATGGGAAGGAAAGAAGAGGGCATTACACTGCTTCCTAGTGGCCTGTCAGACTGATCACTTCCAGCTGCCTGGACTAATCAAAATTGGGAGCAATGCTTTTTTATTTTTTTATGTTTTTCTCTCTGGGTAGAACTTGTCTGAACTTGGAAGCTAAATATATAACAGACTTGCCAGAGGAATTAAAACCTTGCTGGAAAAAGGCAGTGGCAAAGTCCTTCCCTCTCACTGTGAAGAAAACTGGAGGAGAGAATTGGACTTGAAGGAGAATTTCAGTGCTGGCAGCTTCCAGGGAGTCAAGCCTGCTTAAGAGGACAGCTTTTACTCTCATGATTGAGGGGAGAAGGACCAGCTGAGACTGAACATCTGACCCTAGTGCTCCTGTCCATTGAAAGACAGTCCTATCCGCAAAAAGCTTGATTCAAAAGCTGGGTCAAGTTGTGCCATCTCCTAGGTGTGGTCCTACCAAAGTGGTACTTTCAAATAGATGGAAGATGATTCCAATCACCTCAAGCGAAGTATTAGTAGGATTCACCCCTTAATCTAAGACCTAATGTAGCAAGAAATCTGAATTTTGATTTGACAAGGTGATTTTTCTATGTTGTACTTGGCATCTAGCCTAGCTTTGTTTGGTCTACTAGTTTTCCATGTGCAGGGCTTTCTTAGTAGGGAGGTACATTTAGTTTTATAATACCCTGCCCCATGAACTGCTGCTGTTTGGAGATCACACTAAAACCAGCAATAGGAAAACCTCAGTATGCTCAGCGAAATAAACCAATTGTATTATTGCTGAGGGGGTTGGCTTGATAAGGAGCTTATTTGGTTTGGGTTTTTTATAGCACTGATTTGTAAACTGTGAGTAATAGATGTGGTAATGTTAGAAGGTGTCGCTTGGCGCATGCTGTAGACTGGACTCTCGCTTGAATAGACTGGCCTCTTTTTTCCAGAAATAAATATCTTGGCATAAACAAACACTATTAGGGTTTTGTCTGCAAATAAAACTATTTAAAAAATAGAAATGAAAAGGAAAACTTTGAAGTAATGAATCGAATCTCTAAGAAAAGCCAACATCTCTTATTTGAAAGTTGGATGCTTATTTTTGTGGACTTTCACATCATTCATGCATCTATTTTATACACATTCATGGAGAAAGAAACCTAACAAAAATACGGTAATAGATTCTTGAATTAGCAATTGTTTGAGAATTCAAAAACAGGACTTGATCATTATTCCAAACTGGGTAGTCTGATGCAAGTATTGACTTCTAACCTTCCATTTCACCCCTCCCCATGTGTTAAACTACAGTCTCCATTGTCCAGATAATATGAGGGCTGGAGATAATGGGAAAGCTGGTGTATAGGATTTTTATCATGAATAATGACTAATTTAGTGAGATGAGTTGTTTGAGAGCCAGATCACACATTTCTGTTCAACAGAATAACTTGGATTCACATGGAATGCAATTGGGGGAGGTGAGTGGGATGTCTAAGACTGCATGCAAGTACCGTCCAGATTTAACAAGTTAGAGGATTATCTTGGGGCACTTTTTAGGCTCCACCCCCACCTCCAAAATTCCCACCCCTTAATTTAAAGATCTAGGCTTTGATTACTGAAAAGATTTCTGCACTTGGCCTGAAATGTTTGCATAGTTCAGGGTTGACCTTTGTCACTAAACCCCACTTCTGGTGCTCAAAAAGAGCTTTCATTTCCATGGTATAAGGATCCAAACACTTACATTTTATTAAGAGGATGGCTTAAATGACTCCTTGTCTCTCTCACCTCCCACAAGTGTTTTCTATTTACCCGTTTAAGTAAACAGTGCTGCTTTCCTGGGGTGCCCGTCTAAGAGCATCTTGTAGGTCACGAAAAGGTTGAGGCCCGGTTTGCAACTCCGCATTCTGTTAATTTCTTAAGAAACACAAGTTGCGGGCCCCTGCACAAAGGACGATGATTTAATGAGGAAAAGAAACAAACTGGCTGATTGTTGGCGCTCACAACTGCCTTGGGAGTCCCTCTGGCAGCCACAAGCTGAACTCTGTGCCTTCAATGCAGCGTGCTTTTGGAGGAGAGGCTGGTCTGAATAGAGGACAAAGACAGCTTGTTCTGTTTATTTACCCTGCCTACAAGTTGGGTTAACCTCTCCCAAACAGCCGGGTTAAGCCCGTTAGCTGCCCAGCCCAGATGAGCCGCTGCTGCTGCATGGCCACTGTCATGCAAACAAGTCTTCTTGAGCCACCCTGTCCCACCCCACCAAATTTATGCCAAGGGGCAGCCTGTGTGCAGCTGGAAGTCAAACCACTCTCCATCCATTGCGGAAATAAATCCTTCCCTATTCACTTTGCTAGACAAGGTAGTTGACCAGCGGATACGCCCATCATTCAGATAAAACAGGAGGAAAAGAAAATTACTTTCAATTTCAACGGGGACCAAGCTCACCCATTCCAAAGCAGAAAAAAAGAGGAAGGCTTGATCATTGGAAGCAAAAAATAATAATAAAAATAAAAAAAATTAGGAGGATTGGTACTAATTCAGCTGGGCTGAAAGAAGCTGAATGGGAGGATGGAGTAGCATATTCCAGGAGCCCATCCAGGTGGGATTTCTTTCGTGAATTGTGGTTTAGTGTGAGATGTGAACACAGGCTAAAAATCTGTGGTAGAAAAGTACATGATGGGTGGCATGATACAATATGCCTTAATTTGAGTCAGGAGATATCTTTTCAGAGTCATATTAATCAGGATATCATATAACCAATGACAGGGCATATTTCTGAGTCCTAAGCCATATCCTGCAGGACTTACTATGCCACTGGGGACATCCACAAGGTGTTTATGTGTTAGAAAATGTCAAGATGGCTACAATGGTGTGATTGAAGTTTATGTGAGTTAGGCAGGACTCCCAATTGTGTAGTTAAATCAATCATTACTCCCTCCTCCAAGTGAATATCCCTGTATCCTATTTTACTAACTCCTTAGCTGTGTTTGCATGAGCTGCAGCACTGCTACCTGCCCAACCACGTCTGGTGGGATCCATAGTTAATCTAATATTCAGCTTGATACATAAACCCAAAAATGATCTCAGGTGAATTAGGACAGGTAAATATGTGAAGAGAGTCACTGTCTCTAACATATTTGTCTGTGCAAAAATGGTATACTCTTTTAGGGAATCATCATCGTCATCCATCATCATCATCATCTTGGCTGAAGCTGTAGAGAAGCAGTCACCTAGCATGTTTTGCAGATTGGCTCCTGAGCCCTATAGGACTTCTAAATAAAAAAGGAGGGGGATATTTATTGGTTTCCACACAGGGATTTGTTTGAAAATGCATCATTGTGCTTTGGGGAAAACAACACAATAAACTGATGTAGAGAGCCCCCGGTGGAGGCTGGAAGGAGAGGCTGGTTTGTTAAATGGGTCTTTTTATCATAAGACATGGCTATAAGTGCAGCTTTACTGCAAATAGGTGAGCCCATTTATAAAAGTGCTCACAACATGGCCTCAACATTTTAAAGATGCCCACCACCAGTCCAGAAAGCTGTCTCCCCTGGTTTTAAGTGGCACCATGGAAAGTGAAGTAGATTAAATAGATTAATATAAGAGGAGTAGATGAATGAAGAACGTCTTTGATACAAATAGAAAGAAACACCATCTCCAAATACCAAGTCATCTCAACAGTATATTATTTCTGTATATTTCAACAGTATAGTTTCTCTTAATTTCGCCAGAGGAATCTTTCCCAGACCTTTCCCAGAACTGAACCAAAGGCGGTTCATTGCCAGTTAGATAAATCTCTTTCTATGTTCAGTTCTGTTAAGAAACATCTCTGGTAGTTGAGATGGAATGATCTTTTCTGAAGAGAATGGAAATGGCTCACCAGTGCATGAGGACGATATGAGGCTGAAAAAAAATCATGTATCTATTTGGTCTATGGACCTATATTTCTGCCATGAATCCTTCTAAGCACATGCACAAACTGCAGTTTTGGATTAATCATTCTGTGGAATTACATCCAGTTTTCTTCTCATTATAATTTAAAACCAGACTTTATTAAAATGCTCATAAATGGCATGGTACCTACCCCCTTCTTTTAAGGTCACGTTCAAAACAGATTTCTGCAGGGCTGAAAATGCTGTAATATGGCTATCTGCAGGGATTCAAGTAGCACTATCATTGAGTGTTAAGAAAAAAAATTAAGCTTTCTGAAATTTACAATCTCTAATTCCTCTGCTGTCACCCTTTGTGATGATACTAAAAGCAGTGCAGAGCATGTTGAAAAAAAAGTAGTGGTCTGATTCAACAGTGAGATGCCTTTTTATTTTTTTAAAAAAATCAGTTTTGATAAATCCCTTCTCCATAGGCACTTGGATTACAGGGATTTACCAAACTACACATATTTATAAATTAAATCTCCAATTGCACTTGGGGAAAAATAAGAGGTGTTCATTTAGGTGGGAAGAGGTCGTTGTCTTTGCACAATGAAATGGTAAAATGTCTAATGATTTAATTTTCTAAAACATCTGAAAAAAGCTACAGAAGATGGTTTGCATTCCTAATTGATGCATACAAATGTTTAAAACTTCTTGAGAAGTTAACTAAGCCATATTAAATGGTTTCAAGCTTGCACTTTCTACTGCAGGCAGCAAAATCCATTGGGCCACACTTGTTAATTTAGATTAAATATTCTAAAAGCACTGCATCTTCAGACTGAAAGAAACTAAGGTGGAAATCTGGTCAGGGAGGAGGTTCTACCTTTAAAAGTCACACAGAACAGTGCCAGAAGTGTATTTTATTATCTTCAGCAGAGAGAATATGCCTTTGGGATGTTTGCTTTCAGTATAACTCAGTATAAAGTAACAGGAACACAAGTTGAAGAAGGAATGTCTATATGGATCACTTCAATAATGTATGTGTCAAGTCTCTGAAACTACCGAAAACCTCTCTTAAGACTACTTGTTTAGAATTTTAAGCAAAGAGCAGCTCTTTTCTCTTCTGTATAACAAAAAATGCTTCCCAAGGGCCCCTTTTCTATATACCTGAAAGATAAGGTTTTTCTATATACCTGAAAGATAGGAACTTTTTCCTCCTTTGGCAACTCTGCTGTTCACAGAAAATTTTCTGAGTCAAATATTAAATGAAGCCCCTATTTGTCCACATCCCTGATTGATTTTAATTGGTCGCTTTTCCAAAGGAAACAGTTTTGCTTTCAGGTCTGTCACAACTCATTTGTCATAGGAAACAGACTCCAATCTTAGCATTCTCATTGACATTCAGTAAGAAAAATAGATCAGAGTTGTTGGACATGTATTCTGAATTCGACTGAAATATGAAGCATTGCGCTGTCCTTTCCCTCGGTATTATGTAATTTTTCTTGAAGAGCTCCTAGTATCACTCTTTGGGAAAAGTTTATTTAGCGGATTATTTTTTCTTGATGGCAGTAGCAAGTGTAACAATATTTTGGGCCTGTTTCAGTAACGGCATGTCTATCATGCTGCCGTGGAATGTGAAGGCGCCCTGCAAAGAAAAAAAAAAGAATATTCTCAAAAGAGGTCTTGGGAAAATAAAATTTCAAGCTATAGTTAATCATAATGCTTTTGTTTGTTAGTCAAGAATCATTACATCCCAGGTGAATCAAAGATATCTTCTCCCTGTTTTAGAAAGAGCTCAGGGGTACAATACCACCACCACCACCACCAACAATAATTAGTCAAGATCTTGTGGGATTTCAGAATTCAGACTGATAGGCACTTGGCCTACAACACACCTGACATAACAATAGTTGAAAAGAAAAAAGTTTGGTTCATTGACATTGCAATACCTGGTGATGTGCGAATTGAAGATAAGCAGCAAGAAAAAATCGGGACTTGCAAATGGAAGTTGAGCAACTGTGGAAAAAGAAATCGTGTGTTGTCCCGATTGCAATTGGAGCCCTTGGAGCAATACCTAAAGGGCTACCTCGCTATTTGGAAATTCTAAATTTATCGGACTTGAACATTCTGACTTTACAAAAAAACCACCCTACTTGGAACAGCTTATATCCTCCGATGTTACCTTAACAGTTCCTAGGTCCTTGGTTAGGACTCGAGCTGTTGAGATACCAATCAGCCCCAAAGGCTGTGAATCTCACCAAAGATTAACCAAATAATGATGATGATGATGATGATGATGATGATGATGATGATGATGATGATGATGATGATGATGATGAAATGCAGAAGCTAAACAGGGTCAGGTCAGGCTTGGACTTGAATGGGAACTGGAAAAATTCCAGGATTGTAAAGTTGAATGTGAACTTGGAAAAAAAAGCCCTGAAGACAATTGCCAACTACCACATTTTTCAGACTATAAGACGCACCATGTTTTTGAAGAAGTAATTTTTTTTAAAAAAAGGTTTTGCACTCTGTATGCCTCCCAACCCTTTGCATGCCTAGTTTTTTGCAAAAAAGGGCATGCAGAGCTTTGGTAGGCTTGTAGAGTCTCCTGGGGGTTGGGGGGGGGGATGAGCAAAAAACAGCCCATTTTTAGCAAAACCAGGCCGTTTTTTGCCCCAAAAAAGGGCATGCAGAGGCTTTGGGAGGCTTGTAGAGTGCTCCTGGGGGCTGGAGGAGGGGCAAAAATGATCAAAACCAGCCCATTGCTCATTTTTGCCCTCCTCAGCCCCCAGGAGCATTCTACAAGCCTCCCAAAGCCTCTGCAAGTGCATTTTGCATCTTATACTCCGAAAAATATATTGCTGCTGAAAAAGTAACATGACTGGAATCAGGAATCAAGCTCAAACCAGAGAAATGTTAACTTTTTTCTCTCAGAACAAGATATTTTTCCTCTCTGCTTCTAGGAAAGACATAGGAAGATGTAACCTGAGCTGCATGAATGACAGTAGTGATGTACTATTGAGGAGACTGGGCCCAACAATTCATTTTGCACTTATAACAATTTTGCCAGGTTCCAGTTGTTTGGCACTATAATCCCAGTATCCACAAGGAATATTTTCTTTTTGCTAATGAGAGTCTTGAGTAAGCAGTATTACTATAAAGCCTATTAAAACTCATCCCCAATATTGATATCAGAGAACTAAAAGTGGTTTGTATTGTGTTCTGGGAGAGATCAATTGCCACTCCAGTAGCAAAATTAAGGATTGTTCAAAAAAAATATAAAAAGAACAAATAATAAAAAAAATCTTACAAACATACTGTATGGAGGAGAAATATAATCAATGTTTGAAGTGGTTCATATTATATTGAAGAGGGCTAATGCAATGAAAAAATATCCTGATATTTAATCAGGACTAGTAATACAAAGAAAACATACAAAGTGCTTAAATTTTCACTTGTATACTGTTTATAATTAGGTCAATTTAGCTGAAGAGCCTCACTCCATCAGCACAGATGGGAAGAGATGTTACAACCATTTGTTTGCCCTAGCACAATGAAAATTAGATAATAGTAGTAACAATGCCAAAAGCGGATTGCAGTCTTGGAATTATACTGCTAAAATAATTAGTTGGAAACCTAAAGGAGGAACCTGGTGTATAAAATACAAATGAGGATAAATATATATGTACTTTAGCTGATGAGTTTAGATACTTTTCCTAAGATGACCTGAAAATCCTAAAAAACAACATGCTGTTTCAACCATTAATCTGTAGTGTTACATTGTCAAATAGGTCAATATTTCAATAGCTCATGTAAAATATTTGTTATTAATGAATTTTATTTCTACTACTTCTATTAATTTTATTTATACCACAGTCCTTTGTCTATTTGTCTCAGGTAACAGCTCCTGGCTGACCTTGAATAGATTTGGAAGCTAAGCAGTGTTAATCTTGGTTAGTATTTGGATGGGAGACACCCAGCAACGCTAGGACTGGTGGCTAGCATGGGAAGCTCAACTAAAATATCAAAGCAGTTCTACCTTGTCTGCATCTAGGAAAACCACATTGATGCATCCTCAAAGTTCCCAAGGTCATGGACAACATGTAAGAAGCAGCTTCCTTATGCATATTTATTTACTAAAGCATAATGCCATTGACTCTAAATGAATCTGTGCAGGATTGTAGCTTAGATTTGTCATGGGGCTTCTCTAGGTTTCTTACAACAACGAAAAGGAAGAAACGAAAAGATGATAAACAGAACAGAAGTAAAATATTGTAATAGAATAATAAAATAAATGAAAAAGAACACAAAGAGAATACATCAATATGATAAAAAAGCTGGATGGGTGAAGAGCAGAGAGCAAGGGGGGAGGTGGAATCTGCTATCAATCCAACAGCCACCTTTACTGTGGAACTCCCCCATCTCATCCCCAAGGCAACTGGCAGAGCCAGGTCTTCAGGCTCCTATACAAAATGGGGGCAAATTAGAGGCTTGGATGTTCCAAATAATATTTATTTTATTTTATTTTTTTCAGAAATTTTTTTCCTGAATGTCGTGATTACAGCTTGCTATAATTGGGAGTTGTAAATCCAGCTGCTATGGGCCAAACCCCCTTGTCTTATTTAATTAATAGGAAAATTGGTAGCATTTTACAATTCCTTGGAAAGACCACACTTGGAATACTGCATCCAGTTTTGGTTGTCATGATATAAAAAAGAAGTTGAGACTCTAGAAAGAATGCAGAGAAGAGCAACAAAGATGATTAGGAGACTGGAGGCTAAAACATATGAAGAACATATGTTCTTCATATGCAAGAATTGGGGATGTCTAGTTTAATGAAAAGAAGGACTAGGAGTGACATAATAGCACTGTTCCAATATTTGAGGGGCTGCCACAAAGAAGAGGAGGTCAACCTATTCCCCAAAGCACCTGAAGGTAGGACAAGAAGCAATGGATAGAAACCAATCAAGGAAAGAAGCAACGTAGAACTAAGAAGAAATTTCCTCACAGAACAATTAATCAGTAGAACAACTTGCCGCCAGAAATTGTGAAGTTTTTAAGAAGAGATTGGATAAACCATTTGTCTGAAATGGTATACGGTTTCCTGCCTGAGCAGAGGCTTGGACTAGAAGACCTCCAAGGTCCCCTTACACTTTTTATTCTGTTATTCTGTTAAAATATGAAAATGAAGATGTCGCCAAAAAGATAGTTCAGCTTTGTTCCAGCTAGTGCTGGAATCTCCCTGCTCAAGCACGAAACCCTATACCATTTCAGACAAATGGTTGTCCTATTTCTTCTTAAAAACCTCCAGTGTTGGAGCACCCACAACTTCTAATACCATAGACAATATAAGTATTAATTTGGAATTATACACACACACACACACACACACACACACACACACAAACATATATATATATAATTTGTAGATTTTCAGAGGTGTAGGTATGTTGGTCTTGTATTCGGGTTTTTTCCCCGTGTAAGATTGACATTGTCTTGCAACGTTTCAGCGAGGTCCCACTCGCCATCTTCAGGCTGGTGTTTTCGCCTTCGTGCTTGAGCAACAGCATAAGCACGAAGCCGAAAACACCAGCCTGAAGATGGTGAGTGGGTCTTAGCCGAAATGTTGCCAAGACAATCTCAATCTTACACGGGAAAAGACCCAAATACAACAAGACCAACATACATACATACATACATACATCCCAAATTAAATACTTAATTTAACCCTTGCTAAATAAAAAAAACATGACGTGTAAAAATGCTTATTTCAGTTAACATTTCCAGCAGTATTCTATCCTAATCTGTTGCTTATCTTAGTATTGTCAGCTCCAGAGACGAAAGAGTGTATTTATTCTAGGAAATGTAATGCCAGCATTGTGTAATATGTGAAAGAATGACAAATGTTTTGATGCTGATATTGCTAGACCTCAATCTATTTTACCTTAAAATAAGCACAACTGAAATAAATTAAAATTACTTTAGAGTAAACAATATTTTTTTTTGGTCATAGAGGTGTATTATACTTTCTTAAAGACCATGATCTTGGTCAAGCTGCAGGATAAGGAGGTTCATGGAGATATTATTGCTAAAGAATTAAGCAAGCCAGGAAGGATGTGAAGTAAAATTAAATTGGCAATAATTCAAATGTCTCTCTTCATGCCTCTTACCTATAGACTGAATGAGGTAAAATGAATAATTTTCAGCAAAGCTTTAGCAGTAACTGGTTTAATTGTAGCAAAATCCCTGCCAAATACAGTGAAACAAAATGTGGGCCTGCCGCCACTTCAATAAGTTGAAATGGTATTTAGGCGGTACAACTTTCCTTTTCCTCTTGGTATACCCCTAGAAGACCATATGGCCAGAACATTAGCTCTTTTGCTCTGCCCTGTTCTGGAGAGGAAAAAAGGCAGCCAAGCCCCATTATACCTGGAATCCCAAGGGGGGTGGGGGTGGAGAAATACCAGGTAAGATTTGAAAGATGTGGCTTTGTGGCCTTCTTGCTACAAAGTGTTGTTGCATCCTATCATGCTCTGGTGGAGTGTGATGCTGTGAGTTGGATCTGAAGAACAGAATTTTTCAACATTCTGCCTATCTTTTCATACCTGAAAATTTGATGGAGGCAGAATAGATCAAATGACA